CCACCACCCCATCAGAGTCCACTCCCAAGAGCTGGGTAGTGGCAGAGGACCCTGGGCCCTGAGGCCTCCCTCCCTCCTATCTGGTGACCCCATCACACAGTCTCAGCCCTGGGGAGGAGGGCCCTAGCTGGAGGTGGTGCCCAGTGGCATCCTGAGCCGAGGTGCCAGGAGAGCAGGCCTGCCTTTGATGCTATGAGGCAGGGCAGAGGCAGGCAGGTGCCAGCGGTGAAAATGGGGTGGGTGCTGAGGGCTATGTGGCCATCTACTGGATGTGATATCAGGCTGGGGGACATGGGATGCATGGGGGACATTGCCATCTGGGCTTCATCAGCCCATTTGTGGGCAGGGAAGGTGTCTGGGAGTGCAGCCAGCTGGGAGGCAGGAGGACACTCAGGGAGGTGAGCAGTGCCTGCACAAAACTGGGTCTGGTTTCGGGGAACAAAGGGCAGCCAGAGGGAAGTATCAATGCCCTCTGCTGTTGGGGGTGAAAGGCATCTGACTTGAGGTAAGAGGGTCCCTGTCCTGAACCAGGCTGCTGTGGGACCCTCAGCAGGGACATCCCAGAGACTCCAAACAAGCTGGGATGCAAGTAAGACGCCTTGCCTGGAAATCGGGATCATTAGCCGGGGTGGCCGTCCCCTGGCATGGCTGTGTAAGGCCCCGAAGGTAGCTGTCCACCTACCCTGCAGGGAGTGCCTCTCACCAGCAAGCCGCTGGGCCAGCACCAAGAAAGCATCTTCCTCCCGCAGATACAGGAGGAGGGTGGCGGTGACGTGGCTCAGGTGCCTGTGGTAGCCCACCTCCTGCAAGAGCCAGAGTCACCGTGGAAGGGTGTCTCCTGGGAGGGCTGAGATCACCTGGGAGGACTCATGTCACCAGAAATGGCAGAGGTCCTCAGGGACACCTGCCACAGGCCCCCGGGATTTGGGGTGCAGCCTCTGCATTCCTCCCCTGGCACTGGGCATGAGGACTCAACAGGTCATGCACGACTCAGTTGACAAGGAGCCTGGGGGTACTCCTGCAGCGAGCGTCCAAGCTCACATGGCCTGAAAGGGCACAGTCAGGGATTGTTCATGCTCCCTACCCTGGGCCAGGCTGGGGAGGCCACTGTGCCAGGCCCGGAGCAGCACCTGTGAACTCACCTGCCACGAGGGCAGGCAGCGGGGCGCTGACCACCACACAAAAGGTCCTGCAACAGCCCAAGGACTGCCTGCCAGGCACAGGAGGGCAGCTGGGTCCCGACTCCATGTGGGCAGCCCATGGAGTTGGCTCAGCCACTCTCCCTGCCTAGAATGGTCTGGAAAGTGGGGGTGGAGCAGGAGCAGCCAGCTGGATGACCCCCTCCTTGTCTGCTGTACTCCTGTGGGGTTCAGGGAAAGGGAAAATTGGATCTCTGCCTGGTTTCTGGTGAAGAAGAGGTTTCCTCAGGATGCAAACTCATTTCATGACAAGAGCCTGGCCCATCAGGCACCTCAGCAACTTGTCAAATCTGTCTCCTGTGAGGACCATCTGCATGCGACCCTGCCAAGCTCCTGGGCTTCGGGGCAACACCAGGAGGGGAAGGTCATTTCTTCATCTGAGACGTGGGGATCGGGTCAAGATGACACCAAGAGTCTGGGCTTCAACCCTTTTCCGTCTCAGTTTGACCCCTTGTGCTGCCCCCTTGCTTGGGTGTCCACGCCAGCAGTAAGCTTGAGTCCTGCCTACTACGAGCTGGTGGGTCACGAACACTGAATTTTCAAGAAGTGCTGACACCCCCAAGAGACACCCATGCCTGTGAATATGGGCACATGGCCCAGGAATATCGCTGCCCAGGAATATTCACAGGGTTATATGCAGAATAGGCCACGAGGATGTCACATAATTCCTGCTGCCTAGAAAAGAGGGAAAAGAGGGTTTTGTTTTGTGTGGATGCTGTCAGTTTCATTTTGTCTACAAACCCTGACAACAAACACAATTCTGGGTTCAGATGATTCCCCCAGATAAGCAGTGAGCTCTTCAGGACACCTGAGTTTTTAGAAGTTTTTTCAGTAAAATCCACATTCTTTGCAATGCAAATATCACAGGTGTACATTTTGGATCCGTGATTATTTTCACTCTGGTTGATTTTTTCTTCCCCCTTTTCTTGGTTTGCACACACGGAAGTCCAGTCTTTGGGACGTGCAGTTCCACGGTTCTGAACCAATGTGCAGACCCTTCCGTCCACCACTGCAGCCCCTCCCAGAGCGGCTCCTTCATCCTCCAAGTCCCCAGCATGTCCCCTTTGCAGCTGACCTCTCCTGGCTCCATCAGCGCCTGACCATCCTGACCAATTATTCTCTGTCTCTATGCTTTGCCCTTTCCCAGAATGGCCAATGAATTGGAATCCTGTGGTGGTAGCCTGTTGAGTCTGGCTTCTTTCCCTCAGCAACACACATCTAAGACCACCCATATTCCTGCGGGCATCAGGGGTTCATTCCTTTTCCTCACCGAGTCATCTCTATCTGAAGAGTGGAACCCCCTTTCTCCCCAGTACCCCTGTTGAAGATCATCTCAGTGGCCTCCGGGTGTGAGTGACAATCAATCAAGCAGTGAATGTGGCATGTGGGTTTTATTTGCACGTCAGTTTTCAAACCATTGTGGTCAATATCTGTGACACTTTGGGGATGTGTGGTACAAGGCCACTGAGCTTTGTGAGCCACGGCCCATCTGACTTCCAAAGTGCCCTGTCGTGTGCCCACCCATCATGGATGAGCGTTTCCAGGGCCCCGCATCCTCCCTGGTATTTTGGGCTGTCAGTGTTTCCCGGGAAGGCTCCCGAGCCCCGCCATCCTGCCGCCTTCCCGTGGGTCTCTACCCTGGCTCATTGTGGGGCGTGGAGAACACTTTTCACCATCTGCATGATTTTTTTTTTTTTTTTGCTGCCTCCCGTCTCCTTGGGAGCCACCTGGGTTCTGTCCCCACATGTCCCAGCCCGGCCCAGGGCTTAGAGCCCGGGAGGTGCTCAGTCCATAATGCTGGCTGCTGCCTGGGCCAGGAGAGCCCTTGGCAGCTCTGTCACTTTTCCTGAGTGACCGTGGCCTCTGCCCTGGGGAAGCCCTCATCGCTCTGGATCGCCCCCATGTTCCCTGGTACCCCTGCAGCCCCCATAGGCCTTACCTGACTCCAAATCATTCTCTAAACATCACGTGGTTCTGCAGGGTGTGGCTGACATCTGCCTTGATGTGGTGGGTGATCCTGGATGACCTCTTTCCCTTCTCCTTCATGACCCGTAGGGCAGGGCTGAGAGGAGGAAGCAGCCTCAGAACAGACAAAAGACTCCCTACCCCTGACGGCAGTCATCCCACAGTCAGCACTTCTGGAAGGAAGGGAGGAAGGTTTCCTTCTGCAGAAAGCTCCTTTTTGCCTTGTTTCTGAAGCCCGGGAGGGTCAGCAGAGCCCAGTGCACCTGCAGTGCCTGAGTTACCAGATGTGCCCAGCATGTGAGTCTGACCACCGCCCCCACCCCCAACCTGGGCTCGACGTTCCCTCCAGCTGGAGTCCTGGGCTTCTGACATGGCCAGGCCTGTTTGTCCTGCCCTGGCTGAGTATGGGAGGGCTGTACCTTGTCTTCCCCTCGGTTCTCAGCCTTCACTTTGTCAATGTCTAGCAGGAGTGACCACGCCCAGCCCCGCACCACCAGGGGAATGCCTTTGTACACAATGTCTTTGTACACAGCTAAAGACAAAAGAACACTCCAGTGAGACAGGACACGGGGCGACTCAGGGAGGAAAGCTGGTGAACAGGCCTGCTGTCCTATGGTGAGGATGGGATGCCACCCACCCACTGATGCAGAGGCAGACGGTGCCAGGTCACAGCCATGGGTGCCTCTCTCCTGGCTATGCAGAGAGCAGTCACGGGGGCCACTCCCTCCCCATGTTACCTTCTTGCTGCTCCCATATTTTGTCCAGTCTCCAAGCATCTTCGGCCACTTGTCAGTGCGTTTTATTTCCTGCCATCTTTGCTGTCAAAGGAGCCATGATGGAGTTAGCGGAGCTGCCAGGCCTCTGACAGTGGCCCATGGATGCTGGGTCCAGGGCTTTGGGGCCCTGAAGGGACCCAACCTGAAGGAGCCAGGAAAGGGAAGACCCCAGGGGCTGAGATCCTCTGAACTAACTGGAGCTGGGGATCTGGACTGGTGATACCAGGACACGCCCTGAGTGTTAGTTGGGTCCCAGCCTTCAACTGGGGACTTGGTACAAACAGGCAGTGGACTCTGAGCCAGGACTGCAGTTCTTGGTTTGGGTTTTGGTCAAAGCCTCATGGGAACAGAGTCCAGCCAGAAAGGTCCCCCTCCCAGTGACAGCCACGGCCCACTCACCACTGCCCGGGTCCACCAGCCGCCCCCTCTGCCTCACCGACCACCCCTGATTCCCTATCCTTGGAGCGGCCTCCCACACAGCAGGCACAGGCTCTTACCTTCACCTCCAGGGCACTGACAGGGGGCAGTTCCATCTCACTGAGAGGCAACCCAGGCAGAGCTGAGGACTTGCCCGGGCCAGGAGCCATCCCCCTCCCTGAGAGGGCCCCAGGGAAGGACCAGCCCAACCCTATCCACCCTAAGTCTCAGCCCGGGACAAGGCACAGACAAGGAAAGCAAGGGCCTCCCTGTGGAGCTGACACCTGCGAGGCACCAGGACCCTGGAGAAGAGGGAGCTCTAGGCTGGCTTGGAGGGAGCCACTTGGGACTTGCGGGGTGCCTCAGGCTGCACAATGGGGCTGCCCCTCCTGGGCAAGAGGCGGCACCCTCTGTGGGAGCTGAGAAAGTCCAGTCCTGAGATGGGATGGGTGCTGCCCGGGGAGGTGGCCGAGCCCTGACTGACAGCAGTGCCTCGAGAGTGACCACATCACCCACCAGAGTCCGGGGAGCCTGGCCTGAGAGCTGCCCAGTGCCCTGAGGACGCACCTGGAGCCCATCCCAGCTGACACTCCCCATGGGCCTTGCAGGGTCTGACCTCCCAGCGTGCACCTGCCTCTGCCTGCGCCCTGGCTGCTGACCCTGCCTGTTCCCTTCTTCCCTCCTCCTGCCCGACCCAGAGACTGTGACCCTCCCTCTGGCCACCCTGGCCCTTCTTTGACCCTTTTCCTGTCAGAGCCGAATGAGACCTCCCTCCCTGATCCATCCACACCTCTGCCTTGGCCACTCTCTCACTGGGGTGCCCAGTGCTGCTGGGGAGAAGCCTTGGGTGACAAGGGTGACCAAAGGCCCTGCAGGCAGTGGGGATGGCCCTACCACCCCCGCCTTAAGCCTCAACCAGTTCTCAGGGCAGTCGGCCTTCCACCCTCAGCCGCCTCCCAGCCACTGCAAAAACCAGGACATGGGGTGCCTGACTGTCCTCCCCCTACTGTCCTGCCTGCCCCTACTCCACCTCCCCCATTCCCCCTCTGTAGTGCTGACTGAGCCGGTGGGAAGCAGAGTCTCTGGAGGGCCACACAGAGCCTTGGGGACTGACCAAGTGCCCCCACTGAGGGGTCCCAGGTGGACCACACTTCCCTGCCATGGGATTCTTTGGGGGATGTAGGTATGCAAAATAATGTTGGGGGTGCAGGGTGAATATTTCAATGTACATTATCATGTATTATCTTACTGTGTAAATGCTTCTAAGAATAGTTAAGTAACTTAAGGTTTGCATGCTACTCAAAATATAGCTTTAAATGCTGATAAAAAATGGATGCAAATGAAAAGTCTCTCTTGCTGTGGTCCAGGGAATCTTTCTTTCAGACAGACTTGCAGCTTTGAGCTGGAGCTGCCCTCTCCTTCCTGTCCACTGCACACCCCCACAACACACACATATGTACACACACATATGCACACACACATATGCATGCACACACCTGCACATACACACACACTGTGCATCATGCCCTCACTAAGGAGGCATGGAAGTGAATGTGTGTCTGTAAGAAAATGAAGAGGGCTCAAGCCCCTGGCTCCCTGGGGATTTGCACAGACGCCCTCCCGGCAGACCATTCTTTGGTCTCTTTCTCTCTCTTAGTGAAAGAGAAAAGCAGAGCCTCAGCAGGTACCTGGCTGCTTAGTGCTCAACCCAAGGTCACAAGCTTCCTCAGGAGCCTGGTGAGATGGCGGCACCACAGAGCCTCCCAAACCGAGGGGGCAGCGTTCAGTGGAGCCTTGAGCCTAGGAAGGTGATAGACGGGACGTCTCGGTTCATTAGACACAACCACAATGCAGTGAGAAAGGGCAGCCGCCTAAGGTTTTATTCTCCAGGAGGAGGGGCTCTCGGGGGCTGTGAGCAGGAGGCACGAGGACTTTATTGCACATGTGGTTAGGTGACGGCGACCTACAGCTGCACTGGGAACTGGGACCCAGAGTGCCCCAACCTCCTGCTCTGTCTCTCTCTTCCTCTCTGCCTCCTCTGTCTTTCTCTTCATCTCTCTTTTTTTCCTCTCTCTCTCTCTATCTCTTTCCCTCCTCCTCTTCCTCCTTGCCCCTGTTCCGGCACCTAGGACCCTCTCTTGGGTGTGTTCGCACACAATGCCAAGGCTGCCATCTATCAGGGCACCCTCACAGGATGCCTCCACCTTCCATCACCCACAGGGTTGAGGGTCCCAGGTATGACCGCGCTCTCCTGGGTAGGCGTGCTGTGCTCGGGGAAGCAGAAGCTGCAGGTCTCCACTGGCTTAGGTGATGTGCCCACAGGGCTGTCGGCTTTCATCTCGTGATCTGCAGAGGTGAGAGTGGAGGGCGTGGGCCAGGCCTGGCCCTGCACTGGGGTAAGGGTGACGGTGTGGGCAGCCATACTCTCCCCTGACCCAGGAACTAAGGGCAATCACCAGGCTAGGGTCATCGGGGAGACCCAGGCGGGTGTCAGTGTCCCTCACTTGCTTACCAGAACATGTGCTGGGGCAGGGGTGGGCAGGCAAATCTTGGCTCTCACTTCTGCCCAGCCCCAAGCCTGCCATGCCCACCAAAGAGACACCTCCTCCAGGGCTTAGCCCTGATGGCCCTGCATCCTGAGAACCCCTAGCTCAGGCAAACCCGAAGGCCGGCACCCCACACCCACCCTTCCCGGGTGCCACTCTCCTGGATATCTGCCTGCCAGGATGTCTTAAACTGATTTTATCAAGCTACAGCGAATAACAGGGATGAGCCCCAGGCCTGAATAACAGGGATGAGCCCCGGGCCTCTCCACTTAGAAGCAGGGGCAGTGACAGGACTGAGGGATGGCCCGCGGCTTGTCACCCAAGCAGTGAGAAGGGTGAGGACCCCAGTTTCATGCACTCACCCTGGGAAGACTTGGCCGGACTTTGACAGGGCCTTGAGCAGGGCTGGCAGGAGCAGGGATCCCTCCTTCTTGAGGAAGCAGGCCACCACCATCAGGAAGCAGCAGAGGACGGCACACAGGCAGAGACCCAGCGTGCTGTAGACCAGGGCCAGCTGATCCGCACTCAGCTTCAGCCCCAGGAGAGCTGCAAGACAGCATGAGACCCCTCTCTGCAGTGCTTTCTCCTCTTCCCCTCCTTAGGCTCAAGCAGTCCACATCCCCCCATCTCCCTGCTGCAGGCCCATCTGGCTCCTGGAGAGGCTGGGCTCCTTTCCTGACCCTGAGGCTGGCTGGGATGCTCTCTGGGTCCTAGAGGAAGTTGATCCACTCCCCCATCCTGGTGGCAACTTTCCAAGGCCTCGAAGCTGGACAATGTGAGCGGGTGCAGGATTAATAGGTCCAGGATTAATCTGTTACAAATCTGATGAATCTCTCACTGGCCCTGAGTTATGAACTCACATTGCAAGCAGAAGGCTCATGTTGCAGTTACTAGAGAGTGGGCTCGTTCCACAATGGGGGTCACCCGCACTTGCAGCAGATGCTTAAGAACTGAGCACTGGAGATACAGGTCCTAGAAAGACAGAGAGACTTTCTGCATGGAGCTTACTGTCTGGGGGAGCCGACCACCTGACCATCCCATGGGGAAACAGACCATCACAGCAGGACAATAGCCTGCAGGAGGGGTGCAGAGAACCCTGGCAGCTCATCCTGGGGAAGGTGCTCTAGTCTGGGAAAAGGCTTCTCAGAGAAAGGGGTCTGTTTAATTTTTACTTTTTCATCATAGGAAGAGCGCACAGTTTAAGTGTTCAGCTTGATGAACTTTTACCCGTGGGTGCACTCAGGCTCAGCCCCCAGAGCAAACTGGACAAGACCAAATTCATGCCCAGCCCCTAGAGGGCTCTTTTCTCCCCTCCCATCCAGTATTTTCCCCCAGAAGTAACCACTCTTCTCAGCCCCCTTGCTGTAGATTAATTCTGCTTCTTTTTGCCTTCTATAGACGCATGCAGAAGGTGCTCTTTTGAGTCTGGCTTCTTCACTCAACAATGACATCTGTGAGATCCTCTTACATTGTTGCATGTGGTCGGAGGTCATTTTTTTTCATTGCTGTATAGTATTTCATTGCATGAATACACTGTTATTTGTTGACGTGTTCTGTTTATGGATATTTAGGTTGTGCTAGACAGTGATAGTTTTGACTGAGTAGAAGTTACCTTGCTATGCAGACGTAGAGAGGATAGGGAGGAACATTTGAGAAGGCAGGAACAACATTTACAAAGGCCTTTGGCAGGAGAGAGCCTGCCTGTAGCCCTGAAGGCTGGTGTGGCTTCCTGGTACCCCGCTTCTAGGTCACTGTGTTCTGAGCACCTGCTGCCCTGGCCTGGTGTGTGGCTCTCCACACCCATTCCCACCTCCTCCTCCTGTGCCTTCCTGACCTGCAGGGGCTGGGAAGTTGAAGGGAAGTGATGTAGCCACAGAAGAAACATGTGGAACCACCGGCAGCTGGGGGCGGTGAGAAATGGAATCCCCCTAGGCCCTTTGTAGGAAGTATGGCCCTGTCAACACCTTGACTGCAGATTTCTCACCTCTAGAACTGCGAGAAAAATAATTTCTATTGTTTTAAGCCACCAAGTTTTTGGTCATTTGTCACAGATGCACAGGAAACTCATATGTGTCTCACATATTAGTAAGCAGCATGGTATTCTGGATCTACTGAAACGGCCTTGCAGTGAGTTCAGACAAGAATTACTAAAGGCAATTGGTGAAATCCTTTTGCCATCAAGGATTTGGCATCAGTGTTTCCAAGAATTATGTGTGCAAGTTGACATGCTGGTACTTTAGCTAATCTGGGTGTCAAAACAGAATGCCATAGATTAGGTGGCATAGAAAATTGATTTCTCACAGTTCTGGAGATGGTAAAATCCAAGGTCAAATGGTCAGCAGATTCCGTGTCCGCAGAGGGCTGGCTTCCTGGTTCATAGATAGCCATCTTTTTACTGTGTCCTTACATGACAGAAGGGATGAGGGAGCTCTCTGCAGTCCTTTTGATAGGGGCACCAATTCCATTCATGAGGTCCCTGCCTTCATGAACTTATTCACCTGCCAAGGCCCCGCCTCCAAATACCATCACTTAGAATTAGACTTCAACACACGAATTTGAGGAGGACAGTAACATTTGGTTTATAGCATCATGACACTCCAAGCCATATGCACTCACAGGAAATCTATAATCTTCTATTTAGTATTTGCTGGTCATCTCTGAATTTAGGGACTTTTTTTTCTTTAAGAAAAATGGCCTTTTACTTGATCCATGGTTTATTCACAGAAAAGCACTGTGAGTTCACACACTTGCTAAAAAGATACAGAAATGAGAGTGGGGGCGCCTGTAACCCAGCTACTCAGAGGTGGCTGAGGCAGGAGAATCACTTGAACCGGAGAGGCGGCAGGTTGCAGTGAGCTGGAGTTCACGCACTGCACTCCAGCCTGGGCAACAATTAGCAAAATTCTGGTCTCAAAAAACGAGAGAGGCCGGGAGCGGTGGGCTATGCCTGTAATCGAGCACTTTGGGATGGCTGAGGCCTGGCGTGATCACCTATAGATGGTCAGGAGATCAAGACCATCTGACTAACATGTGTGCATCCGTCCGTCTCCACTTAAAATACGACAATTAAATTAGCCGGGCGTAGGTGGCAGGAGCCTGTAGTGCAGTATCGGGATTCTGACGGCAGGAGAATGCGTGAATCGCGGGAGCGGAGCTTTCAGTGAGCCATGGATCGTGGCCAACTGGCACTCCTAGCCTAGGGTTGACAGAGCAAGACTGTCCAAAAAAAAAAAAAAAAAAGCCGGAGAGAGATTAAAAAGTCCTCCATTTCGTATCTTTTTGGCAATGTGTGTGGAACTCACAGGGTCTTTCTGTGAATAACCTATGGATCAGTAAAGGCATTTTTTCTAAAAGAAGAAAAAAGTTCCCTAAATTCATGAGGATGACCAGCAAATACTAAATAGGAAGATTATAGATTTCCTGTGGAGTGCATTATGGCTTGGAGTGCATGTATGTCATAAACCAAATGTTACGTGTCCTCTCAAGATTCGTAGTGATTGAAGTCATAATTAAGTGAGGTATTTGGAGGCGGGGCGTTGGCAGTGATATAAGTCATGAAGGCATGGACCTCCATGATATGGGAATTGGGTGCCCTATGCAAAAGGATGCAGAGAGACTCCGCTCATCCTTCTGTCATGTAAGGACCACCAGGGAAAAGATGCTGTCTATGGAACCAGGAGCAGCCCTTGCAGACACAGAAGTCTGCTGAACATCTGACTTGGATTTTACCATCTCCAGAACTGGTGAGAAATCCAATTTTCTATGCTTACCTGAGTCTTATGGCACTTCTGGTTGTTGGACACCAGATTAGCTAAAAGTACTACGCATGTCAACTTGCATCCACATAATTGCTTGGAAACACTGATGCCAAATCTTGATGGCAAATAAGGATTTCACCAATTGGCGTTTAGGTTAATTCTTGTCTGAATCACTGCTAAGGTCGTTTCAGTAGATTCCAGAATACGCATGCTGCTTACTAATATGTGAGAACATCCAGTATGAGTTTCCTGTGCATTCTGTGACAAATGACCAAAAACTTTGGTGGCTTAAAACACTAGAAATTATTTTTCCTCGCAGTTGCTTAGAGGTGAGAAATCGAGTCAAGTGTTGGACAGGCTTATACTTACCTT